CGTCGGCACACACACACACACACCCACACAGGTCCACACAACTGGCTTGCAGGCCCGCCTCAAAGTCTGCCTAAACACTCACGCAGACAAAGACAACCCCCGAGGCAGAGACGGAGTGATAGATGGGGATGGAGAGAGACAAGCACACACACACACAAACATAGAAGCGGGTGGAGCAATAGGAGAGTAGGCGGTCGACACCGCCTGGGAACTGTGCTGGACGAGCCGAGCGGGGCGACCGGAGCGACCGGAGCGAAGGTAAACACAAGAACCGGTACACTTGTCAGTGATGATGATGATGATGATGAAGAAGAAGAAGAAGAAGAAGAAGAAGAAGATGATGATGATGATGATGATGATGTCAGAGTTGAAATAAATCAATTATCAGCTCCACCCCGACAAGGCCAATCGTCGCCAAGAAGCCGGCTGCTCCACAACCACGTTTCGTCTGCTTGCGGATGCCTGTACACACACACACACACACACACACACACATACACACAGAGAATGTGCGCAAAGGCACGTGCAGGGGTGTAGAGGGAGACGGGCGAAAACAGTTAGCACCAGGGTGTTGAGGGCGGGGTGGGAGAGGTGCGCGGAAGGACGGGGCGAGCAGAGGGCGGCGCTGGACGCCGGGCCGGAAGGAGGACGGCTGGAATTAGTTAATCCGGATAATGAGAGCTAATTCAGTTACCTTAACGAAGTTAACTCGCCCAACTGAGCCGGTCCGACGACGGCCGCCGACGCAGCAGACCTGGCCGGTGAGCGACAGACGCTCGGGCCGACGGGCCGACAGAGAGACGCAGCGACGCAGCCACGCAGCCACGCATGGCCCGATAAGAGGTGCCAGGAGTGCGGGCCGGCCGGACCACGGACCAATCAGGCCGCGGGTCAGTGCTCTGTGCCGGCCAGTCGTGTTTTGATTGGCTCGTGCCGCAAGTCGTCTGCCTCGGCTGCCGACCGCTTGACGCCGCCGCCCCATTGGCCCAGCGCGAGGGGTCGGCCAATCGACGCCGGCCACTGTCGACCGGACGAGAGGGCAGAGGCGCCAAACCACCTCGATGCGAGGCCTGATTGGTGCGCACATCAACCCTCGCCTGTCCAGCCCGCAAGTTGACCCCCGCCTGGCTCGCCTCGGTTCAAGCGAGCTGCAACAGGTCGACAAGCCGGCAGACCGACAGACGCGTTGTCACCGGCAGACAACGAGACTGCCACCCCTTCGCCCACCCCGCATCCGCCAATCACGTCCTTGCATTTGCACCTCTTCGTGCCGCTCTCTGTTTTTCGCTCTGTCGATCTGTCTTTTGTCACTCGCGCTCTCCGCTGCCTCGACTCACTGGCCCGATTTGGCAACGTGACAGCAACTTCAATCTCTCTCTCTCTCTCTCTTATGCCCTCGATGAACTGGGAGGCCATTTTGCGCTTTCGCCGAGTTGACGCGCAGCGCCGATGCTGATTGGCCAACAAGCCAAATGGAGCCTTGACCGAGGGACTCGTTCGTTTCGCCTCCGCCTTCTCCTCGCCGGAGCTGCTGCCTCAACTTGATTGGCCTATTTTGGCATCGAAAGGCGACATCATTCGGGTCATCCAAGTCGAGCTTGAAGCTTGGACAGAGCTCCCGCTCCGACGAGAATGGCGGATCGGACAAAGCGGCAAGTGGAAATGGTTGCCGGTTGTGGATATGGTGAATTGGTCGTTTTTTTTGGTACATTCCACTTTCGCGTTCTGTCGACGTCTGTCAGACCGGGACAGACGCAGGCTCAGTGGGCTGCTGCTTCCGACTAGCAGGACTATAAACCGAAATCCCACAGTTCCCACCTACGCACCAACCAACCAGGCGACCAACTAATCAACTCTTCCTTCGAAATGAAAATCGAGGCACACTTTACGATTATAAACCTGCAGACTTGTCTGTCTGTCTGTCAGTACGTTTGTATTGGTGCATCTTCATTTCGTTTGAGAATGCGGACCGAAGGGATTCGTAGACTGACCCCACCGAATACCTCATGAGGGTTGGCATGGACTGTTGAATTGTTTGTTGTATTGTGCGAAGAAGACCTCGGCTCACCGTCTC